TTGGGGGGGGGGGGGGGGGGGGAAGTTCCTGAATGTTGATCACAGTAACTTTTAAAAAGAAATGAAATAAAAATGTGGGCAGACTCTAAGTCTCTCCCCATAGGATGGAGATCATCACTAGAAAATAAAGCTAATGATACCTATAATGTGAGCTTGATCTGTGAAGAAGACTTGTTGACTACTATCTTCTATGCCTGTGACACAGAACGTAAAGGTATGCTACTACTGGCTTCACGGTCTTTCCTGCTCAGTAAAATGTCAAAATTTGCATTTTATTATGGCTGCTAAAGGTGCATACATGCACAGCAAAAGATGCAGAAAGTTGTTATTTAAGTTGTAACCTGAAATCTTGGGGACTAGATGCTTGTAGCTGAACCAGGGATAAAGTTGTGTGGGAAACTGACAGTCTCCAATCTGCTTTGTGCTTCTGTTCCTCATCTAAAAGACTAGGGCACTTACATGCCCATGACTAAATATTTGTGAAACAGAGTGTGATTCTCTGAAAGGTGTTATAGCTGTGTTAGGGAAGGAACGTGATTTTTTTTTAAAGTCCTGGTTTTGTAGAGTTGGATATTGGTTATCTACTTGAAGCTGATTTTTATATTGTTTTTACCTAACAAATTATTTTGATAAACAGGTTTGTTGGGAAACATCTTTCCTGAAATTTTTTTTCAGAAAAAGGGAGAAAAATGCCAATGTCTTTCTAGTGGATGGGGTTTTTCCATGCATCTTTTTGAAAGAAGCTTAATTTTGACTTTTTCTTGGAAAATTTAAGACAATTTTTTTTTTTTTTTTTTTTATGGAAGATGCTTAATAACTATCTTCTCCCCACTTCAGTTATAATTGCTTAACATCAGGATTCTAAGTTTCATCTAAGGGGTGTGTGTAGGGGAGGGTGGGGGCAGGAAGGTGGATTTCCATGTTGAAAGAAGCAGAGACATGTCATGTTGGTGTAAAATCATAAAAATGAAACAGATAAGATGAGATTGTTTGATTTAATTGGGGCCAGGAATCCACCCCAGGAGTATCCCTGGGTCTTAAGCCAAAATTTTTGCATGGTGTCTACTGGGACTGTGCGAAGCTGTAGGTGCCAATTCAATTTGAAGGAGATTCAGCCCAATTTGGTGGCCAAATCTCCAAATCTGAATCAAATTGGGAGACCAATAAAAAAGTCTGAATCAATTTTTGGAGATTTGGACAGTCCCCGTTCCCCGCCACAGGGAGCTGGCCCCAGACTGCGATGGTAAGTAGGGGGCAGAGGGGGTTGGAGCTGGAGGAGGGGGCCCCCACCAAGACCCATCCCCTGCCTGCTCTCCCAGCCCCATCAATGGCTGCCCTGCCTGGCCCCAGCCTCCCTTTGCTTTTTAAAAAAAGCTCCCCACACACCGGTTTCTGCAGTGGCCAGTAGGGCTTCTGGAGGCTCATGGCAGAACCCCCCCCATGCAGTGCAGGGCAGTGGGGTGCAGCAGGGAGCTGGTGAGTGTGGGGCTTTAAAAAACAAACAAACAAAAGAACTGGGGCCAGGCAGGACAGCCATTGATGGAGCTGGGAGAGTGGGTGGGGGGTGGGGCCTGTGATTTGGAGATTTGGCCGAATAGATTCGAATCAGCAACTCAAATCGCTGTCTGCCAAATACAAAGCAAATACTAGCTGCTTTGGCACAGGCCTAGTGTCTACTTCTCCATGTCATGCTGGGATGTCTATTGTCTGTATCTGGTCTATCGCTTCTCAAGATGACATCTGTGCTGTAGTATCCCTAGAATAGCATGCCTCTTGGGAATGTATTGGCAGTTGCCTTATTAGCTTTGCCTAGGTGATAAGTCTATCTTGCCTTTTTTAAATATGGTACATAATCTGTCTACATCTTCTAGGAAAAGTAACAGTTTCCACAATACTTGATTATATGAGGCATACAACTAGCCGGGGGTCAGAAGACAGTGGTCTTGAAGAGTTATGCAATATGCTTGATCCTGATAAAAGGGATATTTCAATGGACTTTGAAACATTTCATGCAACCATGAAAGAGTGGATTGAAGACTGCAGAAGAAAATGGTAAGTCTGTCTTATCCTCTAATACCATGAAGTACCTATAGAGACAAGACAATGAAAATCATGGCAACTGCATGCTGGAGAATCATAAAGCCACACTGTAGTCACAAATTAGTCAATGAGTCCACAAGAAGAAATGTGTTAAACCTAAGCTATGTAAGTAGGCAGGGCACGTGTAAATAGATTTTGAGTAATTGAAGTGCTTGTTTTGTTTCAGGGAAGGTGATGCCACCAAAGAAATAACTCTAAGTATGGAAGACTCTGAGTTGAAATTACATGAAATCATTCCAGCAGGTACAGAATATACAATTTTATTCTTGGATGGCTGAAGTACTCATTTAAAGGTGTGACGGGGTCTGATCTGCAGTACCAACAGTCGTGCCTCCTGCTGTGCCAGACATGCATGACAGGGTGCAATTGGGAAATTGCACATCCTATTTGCCAGTGTAGGGGGTGCCTGAGATTATGATCCCAGGCTCACCTTGCTCCAGAAAGCTGGAAGCTGGGTGCCCACCAAGCAGCCACCCAACAAGCAGCCCAGTTGTCAGCTGAGGTTGGAGACTGAACCAGGGTCTGAAATTTTGGCCCTGGCATGACCCCCACTATATGGATAATCAGCAGATTGCCAAAACTCCATGCTTGGCAGCTCTGGCTGGGCTGCTGGATACAGCAGATCAGAGGCTTCCAGCAGGGGGAGCTGAAGGACTTGTCCCACTGGAGACATTAAACCCTGTACCTGATTTTATACACCTTGGATTCCCAAGATCAGGCTGCTGGTCCCCAGTCCCAGTGTCCCCATGGACTGCAATGTGTAAAAACTGCATGCAGCCCAGATGAAGCCACAATGGAGTGATTGCCAGGACTGGGGAGCAGGGTTCAAATTACACTGTGACTCTCTTTGGGAGAGGCAGAGGAGGAGAGGGGTCTGCAAAAAATAATCAGACTGCCCATCATGATGCCCTAATGAAATTGGAGACCCCCCAGGTTATGGTTTTCAAATCTTACAGGGGGGCTCTTGTCTCTTATGGGGGGGCTAAGCCCCCCACAAGCTCCCCCATAATTTGAACCCTGCTTGCGAGAGCCTCCTTGATCCCAGGGTGTCCATGAGCCAGGGGTGTCAGAAAACCACATGTGCAACTTGGCTGTATTTGCAGCTTTTAAAGGTCCCCATACTCTGGGACTTTAAGATGAAGGAGCCTCTCCTTGATCCCAGGGATACATCCTCACAAGACATGAAAATCACATATGCAATTGGGCTGCACATGTGGCTTTCTGCCATCCCTGGTACATGGGGACCCTCAGACCAGGGATAGGGTCCCTAATCCCAGGGTACTGACACGCATCAAAACCCTTAAATGTGTACGCAGCCCAGCTGTATACCTGCTGTCTAAGATGCAGTGAGCCTCAGATCGGGGAGATAGATGCTCCCTGATGTTGTGTTTGTGGTGTCCCCCATCTGCCATCAGAGGTTGGGCAGGGATACAGGGTCCAGGAACTGGTTTTGCCTGCAGCCTGATTACTTAGGGGACAGCTATGTCCCATCCTGGGGATACCCCATGCCTGATCCTAGCACTCAGCTGGGCACTTGCTGCTATGCCTTCAGTTAAAGGCATGATACAAACAAGCCACAAAGTTGTACTATGCATAATGCATAACATTTCTGTGGCTTGTTTGTATCCCAAAGATTTTCTACACAATGTGTAACCAACTTTGTGGCTTGCTTACTGTATTGTCATGTCATAAATGTCATACTTAAGTAACATGGGCCAAGGGTCTTATTCTAGGATAGTTTAGAAAGGAAGTGGCACCCCTTCTTTCTAAACTATAACTGGGAATAAAATTTCTTTCAGCAAAAAAAGCTTCTGTTAAGCTGAACATTACATCAGGAAGCTTAGAGGCCTTTGGTGGAGATGCGTCTAAAGGAGACTTGTAAGTTCACTTATGGTTTTCAAAGTAAATACATTGGGGGGTTGTTTTTTTTTTTTTTCATAGGCTTACAATCTGTTGAGCTCAGAATCATTCTGTCGGAAGTGCTTTCCTTTTCTTTTTGCATGTCCAAGACTACAGCAATAAACTGTTTCTGGTTCTTGTTATCTCTTTCATGTGCCTTATTGTAACTTCTCTTATACTACTTACTTGACTGTGTTTATTTTGCCTTGATTTGCCATCATTGACAGTATGATCAATCTACTTCAGTTCTTAAATTCAAGTTTTTTGACACTAGTGCAAAACATGTGATCAGTACCTGAAATTCTGTCCCTTCTTTTTTTTTTTATCTTACTATTGTCCTTCTGATTTGGGTTGCATTGCTAGGGGAACCCCAAAGCATAATTTTGAATTTTTAGTTTTCAATCAAATCTCCTGTCATAGTTCAAGCATACATTTTGTTGTTGTTTGAAATCTTCTTTTGAGTTCTCTGAATCATAACTCTCTTTAATTACAAGTTTAAAGGGGGGGGGGGAATTTCAATAAATACCAGTTGCTAGTGATGTTGTTGGAAGAAAACTGGCTAATAAAGGAGAGACTAGCTTCATCTGCAAGTACTTAAACATGTTTGTCAATGGTCCCATTCAGACTAGTGGAATGACTTGCGTCTGTAAAGCTATAAGTGCAGTCTGTGTATGACCAGGACATATGAGCTAGAGATTTTTGGTAGCATAGCAATGGAGTGATTTGCCTGCAATCTTCCAGAAAAAGAGCATCACAGGGTCAGTGTCAGTCATTGGTGAGCTTGCATTCACTGGTTAGCTTGCTTGAAGACATACCAAGAAGAAAGTGAAAATGTGATTGATTGGGTTTTTATTTAATGAATCCAGAGAGACCTCTGATTTGATTGCCTGCGTAGCAGACCTGCAATTTAACAACCAAAAACTTCAAGAAGAGAACAGCAAATTAAAGCTGGTTCTGGAAAGCATGGAGGAGGCCAACAACAGGCTAATGGGAGACTTGGAGGAACTGCATAATCAAGTGAAAAGGTAAATTTGATCGCAACTTCATTAAAGCAATAGCCAAAGTTTAATGGTGACCAACTGGACTGTGCATGTATGGCAGGGAGGTTGTATTTACCACTTAGCCTAAACGTGAGAAGCATTTAAAATCATAAACTGAAAGGAAGTGGCATACTTAACTTCCTCAGCTGTTTTAGATGTGATAAAGCACTGAGAAGGATTAGAAAGCCTTTCATGGGTGGGGAGTTGATTCAACTCTTTTCTAGTTGAATGCACTTTTGGAAGAAATCATAGTACTGGCTACAAATTTCCGTGTGAAGTTCTTGAATTCTGCCATCTACTTTATGAATTGTTTACAATTAAGGATGCACACTCCTGGCTGCCTGCACACATGCGCACAAACACTTTAGATTCATATTGATTGTTCCAACTGTGCTTGTATCTCCCACAAATGATGTTGTTCAATCTTTAATCTAGCCTCCCTTCACTGAAGACTTGCGGGGGAGGTGGACAATGCAGAGTCTGTCTTTAAAAGAGATCCTTAAAAGCCCACTATGACATCTGTATTACTGCCAGTCACTGACTTTAGCCTATCAATTTGTGAATGTATAACTTTGACATTGGATACTTCTAAAAATGTGCTAAAAGGTTACTAACCGCAAGCCAAGACCTTTTGAGTTCAGTTATCTATTCTGATTGCCCAGTAGCTTGACTATGAACATGATGGCTTTTAAGCCTGAAGAAATATTGGATCATCTTGCTTGCCCTATGGTATTGCTGTGTACTAGAGGCTTATCACTACTAAAAGTGCAGCTCTGTATCCTGTAACACATTTGACTTTCCTCTGATCCAGTACACCCCATAATCTTTGGGTCTGCAGCAACAGGCCACAGCCATTATGCAGCCAATCTTTCATCAGGGCTTTCTGGGGAAACCTAGGCAGCCACTCTATACAGTCGGGTTTTGCTCTCCCATGAAGGGTGTGAAGAGTACAACATGGGATTTTGGCAATGTTCTCGAGGACCTACTGTTCAGAGCTAGCTGCAAGAGGAGCTAGTAAAATTTATATTTGTGCATCCTGAGTGTAAAACATGTGATGGCCTAGGTCCTTAGGCAAAAACAAGACTTTGCTAGCTCCTGTGGTCACTAGGAAAGTATTGTCTATGCATGCAAACTTGAAATTTGGTACTAGTTACAATGAACTAACTGAAGTAATAGTGTGGCTAGAATGAATGAATCCTTTTTTCCTTGGCTAACTGGAAATACCACATTTATTTGAATTTTAAGACAACCCCCCAATTTTATGAAATTATAAGCATGGAATATTCATTTTCCATGTCTAGAATCTAGTTATTAGAGGGTCATTTTACACTTGTCCCTCCCACCACTGCCACGGGGAAAGCAGTAGCTGGTAGGCAGGCAACCTGTTCCATGCCCCTTCTTGTGCCTGTTCCCCACCCACTTACCTTTGCAGCTGTTCTTGCTTGGTCTCTGCTGGGGGCATGGAGTGCCAGGCCAAGCCAGGCAGTCACAGCAACTTTAGCTGGGGCTGGAGGCTGAAGCTGGAGTTGGGGCTAAAGCCTCTGAAGTTTTCCTGATGCTCTGTGTGCCCCTTCCTTCCCTATGCCCCTGCTCTGCACTCCCCTCACTCTCTGTTCCTCT